AAAGCTCTGATAGACAGAACCCCTGCTCCATTTTGTCCATTCAGTTTCTATTTTTTTCCTGCAGAAAATGGGCCTTCAGCAAATTTATCATTTTCTCCCTGTACCTCTTTGGTCCAACCTGTTTCTGCTTTTGCTGTAGAATACACGGCTTCTAGTTTTTCTGCAGAGCCTGGAAATGGTTCTTCCAGAATTTGCAGACTCAATTCCTGTAAAGACTGAAACTTATTTGCGAACTCAATTCCCCACACGGGTATCTTTCTTTACTACCTTCCAACTTGACTAGTCTTCTTAGCTATTTAAACTTCAGCTTAGAGCCACTCTTATCATATTCATTTCCAGATTATCCCAAAAATCAGAGCTTGATCTATATTTTTCTAATTTCCAAATCATTTTCTATTAACCGTTTCCTTCTGGTCACTTGTATAGATTTAGCAGATACCATCTTCACTCTTTCTCACACCCATCATTATGTGCTATTTGTTTGTAAGTTAAATTTAGACACTCCAACAGGTATGCTCTATTTTTATGCTTCAAAAAGTGAATGCTGCTCTCCCTGCTGGTAAATGCTTCTATATTTCGCGAATGTGGTCATTTGTCCCGTGTGATTTAAACCGGTGGTTTACTTTTCCTTAAATTTTCTGGTTAGTTTCATCCAAAGATTTGCAAATCCATTCTAATTGGTCTTTATATCAAAGCTATAACTGTGGTAGACTGCAGGTTGAGGTGGCCCTACAAGATGGCCGAACATTTGTGGGAACAGTGGAAAATGCCGATTTACATTCTGATATTGCAATTGTGAAGATAAAATCCAAAACTCCACTTCCATGTGCAAAGCTTGGTAGTTCAACTAAGCTTCGCCCGGGAGATTGGGTGATAGCCGTGGGTTGTCCCCTTTCTCTACAAAATACTATCACAGCAGGCATTGTAAGGTACTTTTGGTGGAATGCTAAAGAAATTTCGTGATTTCGTCATGATTTATTCTCTTAATTATCATTATGGTGATAAGACCATTTGTACATTAAATAATGTGTATTGGCATGATATACTTTAACATCTCGGGACTCTCTTCCTTTCTCTCATTTTCAAAGTTCCAATGCAGTTGTGTAGATCGTAAAAGTAGTGATTTGGGGTTAGGCGGTATGAGGAGAGAGTATTTACAAACAGACTGTGCTATAAATGCGGTAACAATAGTTATAACCATCATTCATGGGCAATGCAGGGTAGATATCATCACATGGACTTGAATCGTCTAATCTATTACGTGCAGGGCAATTCTGGAGGACCTCTTGTGAATATTGATGGAGAAGTTGTCGGTGTTAATCATATGAAAGTATTGGACGCTGATGGGTTGGGATTTTCTGTGCCAATTGATTCAGTTATCAAAATTATAGATCACTTCAGAAAAAATGGGTACAAAACATGTCACTATGCCATGGCCTCAGCTGCTTCCTTGCTGAATCACTATAATTTTAGAATCATTGTTTTTATTTGTTGAGAACAAGTGGTTTGTAGGCACAAAATAAAGGAATTGTCACGCAAATTACATATGAATGTGTTTTTTTGCTGAAATTAATTCAAGTTCCATCTCTTTGACACATACAAAATATACTACGTATTTTATTACCTGCCAAAAATCACGTGTCATTTTTTTTTTTTTTTGCGACATTATCATTCATTTAGTATACCTATGGTGCATTTTTGGGAAACTAACAACACAACGGATGGTTGATATTTCAGGAGAGTTGTTAGACCTTGGTTGGGATTAAAAATGATGGATCTCAATGAAATGGTCGTTGCACAGCTGAAGGAAAAAAATTCTAAATTCCCTAATGTAAACCAAGGCGTCCTTGTACCCATGGTATTATTGGTTCTTGCTTGACATGGTCTTTGCTTTTTACTCAGTTGCTTTTTAAGCCCAAACCAACATTATGCATTTCGTGCATTTCGATCTACAGGTGACTCCAGGTTCCCCAGCTGATGTTGCAGGATTTCATCCAAATGACATTGTCATAGAATTTGATGGAAAGCCTGTCAGGACCATTAAGGAGGTAATTATGTATACAAATATCCATCTGTTTAGTTGTGTCTTCTAACTCACCCTCTACCCCCATGGCCCATGGGGGTTTTTGGAATTCTTTCTTATTCCTTCAAATAAAATTTGTTGCAGATTGTTGAGATAATGGGAGATAGGGTTGGACAACCATTGAGAGCAGTTGTGAAAAGAAGTAATGATGTTTCTGTGACACTGACAGTTATTCCAGCGGAAGCAAATCCAAACATGTGATGTTTTCCCTTTTATCAACTTGTCATGGACTCTGAGCTCCGCGCCTCAGCCCATCTTTTGGGGGAGAATTTATTATAGATTATTACTCAATAAATTATATGAAGTACTTATTTTTTGGTCAAATTTAACTTTTTTAAATTCACTTCTACGTATCATATAGTACCTCCGTCCAGGTGTACTTTGCCAAATTCGAAGTAGGTGATAAATACTCCCTCCGTTCCCAAAAATACTTCCCACTTTCCTTTTTGGGCCGTTCCTAAAAATTCTTCCCACTTTCCCTTTTTGAACAATTTGTGTGGCTCACATTCATTTTACCTTTTTCTCACACAATCACAATCACACATTTCCACTTTATTCCACTTTCTTAATAGGCGTGCCAAGTCAAACCGAGAATAATTTTTAGGAACGGAGGGAGTAAGAAAAGTAAAAACTGCGTGATTGAGGTTTGTGCAAAATCACGAATCATTTTTCATTTTCCTTTGCATCTTCGGGGCATAAGAAAACAATTTCTCATTTTCTTCCCTTTTCTAGCATTTTCATTTTTTACTCAAACTAGGCCAATATTTGCTCCAATCGCAAACTCTTCCATTCAAACTCCTCAAATTCAGAAATTTCAAAAATTCTAGACCCTTATGATTGACTCCAAGGTTGATCTCCTTATCCAAAAACCTTGTACAGTTTTACCTGGCTCATTTTTCAAAAGTTTCTTGAACAAATGGATGGTACAATAGTACAGAGGACTTCCAAAATTTTACCAGTAGATACTTGGTAGAAATAGGAGCGGGATCTCTCAAGCTAGTAACTAGTTGTATACTACTTGTTTGTCAATGAGAAACTTGTCAAGTGTTAAATGAAACCAAATACCTATACCGCAATAGTTACTGCAGCATCTTTGAAGTTAATAAACAAATTAAGCTGACTGATGACTAGTGAAAATCTACCATCATCCACCAGAAGGCCATTGGCGCTTTTGGTACCAAGAAAATGTCGATCTAGGAGTCTAGGACATTTAATGGGTAAAATAATTTTGATGGTTATAGACTTATAGTATATCAAGGCAAAGATGTAACCTACAACTTAACACAACGATAACTATATTGATAAAAACAAGAAACAAGAAAGCTTTGGTGATAAAAGACACAACGATATGACATCTAGTCATCTACCCTCAGTGCTCTCACAACTATATCTTTCTAATGTCGGGAAATTTAGTAGAACCCTATATAATCCACTATGAAGTCATATAAGCACATGTGACATCGTCACACTCATTCATTTGTGAAGTGACCCCCTACTATAAATCCACTATAAAAATGAATGGTTGTTATGAGGCCGCATGGAATATACGACTATAATGGAGTCATATAGGATTCTATAAAATTATTGTTATAATGTCAGAAACAAAGATTCCCACATTGGAATTAGGATGCAAGCAACAATATGAGAATGAATCTTCAAGAAACGACGTCACAAGTTAACGACTTTCTATTGATGCGGAAGAACCCTTTGCTGCTCATTGGCCAAGTGAAGATATAAGTTCATGCTGACCATGCTGACCTTTGAAGGATGAAAAATTCACACGATCCTCCCTATTTCGTGACTGTCCTCTTCTCAATCACTTACATCTATCACAAAACTCTTAAAAACCCGGTAGATTACTCGTCACAAAGTTATTTCTTAAATAATTAGTTGTCCTTGGTTGTATTCAAGTGACTCATTTGAGTGTAACAAGCTCTAATATGCATATATGAGATTTTAATCTTTTCATATAAAAATTGCAACACAATCAAGATAAAATTTACAAAAGACATTATGTGAATAAAATACATCGATTACAAAAACACATTTATTGTAACAATCAATTGACCTTAATATACAAGGATAATTTGATTCATGGACAACAAAGGCAATAACCTCAATGGACTCCAAGCATATAGTAATTTTAATAATTACACCAATACATTTAAAAATCATATAAAAAGTCTAATTGAAGAGCTAAATATTTATATACGGAGTATATATAGCGATTAAAAGAATGTAGTATACTCCAAAATACATATAATATCCAAAATATTATTTTTTCTTGTTCAAATTAAAAAAAATAAGATGGACAATTTAGTTAACTAGATAAAATGTTACGAAAGTGACACTTTTATAATAATTCTGTTATTCGATCAGATAAAATTTTGACTTAGAAAATAAAAAATAACATTTTTTTATCCAAAAAAGTATTCGTTAAAGGATAAAATATCCTTATTTTGGAAATTATATTATACCCCGTATAAAATAGATGTGAAGTTTGGGAATATATTAAAGATAATAATATTTTATGATATGTGAAAAGGTGAATTATTTTGTAATTATGAGTTAGAGTTTTAGGAATTAAAAATCGCTTTTTTTAGCAAAAAATTATCATAGTTTATTCAAATAGAAGAATGAGATTACAAGTGGGGGGAGACTTGTTTATTGTCCAAATTGGACTTTACACTTCATTTTTAAAAATCTTTATGTTTGTACCCTAGCTCCGTATGAAAAGACGGAATGCATCTCCATTAACAATATGTTGGACTTAAATATATTTCTGATTGAGGGGCACATCTGTCTTTTCACAGGGGTTGGGGGGTATGAATACAAAGTTTTATAAAAAATGAGATGCAAAGTCTAATATGGACAATAAAATGAGGGTCCAAACTCCAATTACCCCTATTTTGAGTCTGCTGACTATCTTCTCCTCTTAGTCAGATCTGTGTTATATCTGTAACAGTGCATGAATTGTGTATGGGAGGTTTTCGGAGCATGTAAAAGTCTGAAATCAATCGCCCAACTGCACTGTCAATTGATCAAAGCTGGGTTGATTCAAGACGCTGGTTTTGCCTCAAGTCTAACTGATGCTTACATTTCGCTTGAACTTTCCGATAATGCACTTAAACTGGTCGACGAAATTCCTCATAGGAGTGCGTACGCATGGAATTGCATTCTTCAGCGTTGTTGCAGAGAAAAACGATATGCGGACGCGTTGTCCATCTTTTCCCGTTTGTTTTCCTGCCAAAATACCGATTCTTTAACCCTGTGTAGCGGATTGAAAGCGTGTTCTGAACTAAATGCGATTGGTTCCGGCCAAACGATTCATTCGTTTATAACAAAACTTGGTTTGCTTAATTCAAACTTGTTTATTGGGACCAGGCTTGTTGAATTGTACTCAAAATGTGGGATAATGGATGATGCCCTGCGAGTTTTCAAGGAATACCACAAACCAGATATTGTTTTGTGGACTTCACTCATCTCCGGTTATGAACAGAATGGCGAACCTAAGGGATCACTCACTGTTTTTGCTGAACTAATAAGGTGTAATGCTGTTGGCCCTGATGATGTAACGCTTATCAGTGCTGTTTCAGCTTGTACCCAGTTGTTTGATATGAATGCTGGAAGAAGCATACATGGCTTCACAATTAGGAGGAAGAGATGCTTTGATCTTTCCCTACCCTTGGTGAATTCTTTTTTGAACTTATATGCCAAGACAGGTGGTTTAATGGCTGCTGAAAATTTGTTTAGCATTACAGAACAGAAAGATGTGATATCATGGGGGACTATGCTCTCATGCTATGCTCATAACGGGGCTGCTAAACAGGCAGTGGATCTTTTCAATCTGATGATTCATAGGGGTTGCGTCGAGCCTAACTCGGTTAGTTTCATCACTACTTTGCAAGCATGTGAAGCTACAGGCAATATATTGGAGGGTAGAAAGATACATAAACTTGTAGTCCAGAAAGGGTTCGACTCATCAGATATCTTTCTATCCACAGCTTTAATTGACATGTACATGAACTGCGGCTGCCCAAGTGAAGCAATCACGGTTTTTGAGAGAATGTCTAAGAAAGATGCTGTTGCTTGGTCTTCTGTATTACACGGGTGTGTCCATAACAAAATGGCGCACAAGTCGATGACAATTTTTCATGATATGCTGACTCTTGGGGGTGGAATCAAGCCCGACTCGAGTGCCATGGTGAGTGTTCTGACAGCTTGTTCAGAGCTTGGCAATCTCCAACAAGCCTGTTGTCTTCATGGTCATATAACCAAACATGGTTTCAAGAATGACAAATTTGTTGGGGCATCCCTTATAGAAAGCCATGCAAAATGTGGTGGCCTAGGTGATGCCATCGGCATTTTTGAGGAAATTAAAGAAGACAAAGACGTCGTCATTTGGAGCTCCATGCTTGCAGCATATGGAATGCACGGGAAAGCGAAGGAGTCAATCAGTTTATTTTCTCAAATGATGACCCAAAGCTCCACCGCAGTTAGGCCCAATGAGGTAACCTTTCTATCAATTTTAGCAGTCTGCAGTCATACCGGTCTAGTTAAAGAGGGGATTGAGTTCTTCAAAAGAATGGTTCATGACTATGCACTAATGCCAGAGTCAAAGCATTATTCCGCATTGATTGACCTTCTGGGACGCAACGGGGAATTGGATGAGTCCATCAGCAGCAGCATCATTGATGGAATGAAGAGTCAAGGTTTGCGAGGAGATGCCACATGGGGAGCTTTGCTTAGGGCCTCTAGGATGTACCAGAATGGAGAGATGGGACGGATTGCAGCGAAGAATCTTTTTCAGTTAGATCCTAATAACATGGGGTATCACCTTCTGTTATCAAATATATATGCAGTTGATGGAGATTGGGATGGTGCTAGTGAACTGAGAGCTTCAATTACAAAGAGAGGGTTGCATAAGATGGCTGGTGAAAGTGTTGTGTTCTTGAATTGAGAGGAGGTAGGGTGACAACCCCACTTTCTCAACTTGTCATGAAATTATTCAAGTTTATTATAATGAAATGAAATCATTCAATTTTATTGTAATTGAATAAATCAAATTAAACAAAAAAGAAAAGAAAAATACACACTCAAACCGAAAGATTTACATTTACATTATATTTAGAAGACAGAAAGAGTAAGTACGGTGAGAGAAGCTCGGGATAGGTTACTACTAATTAGTTTATCCTAATTATTTTGTGCGGTCACGGTTATTTTTTTGTAATAATCACCATGGGGTGTTTGGTAAATGGCGTTTCCGCAAAAAAAATGTTGGTTTGACCACTTTTGACATTTTCAATAAGTGAAAACGCTATTTGGTAAATAGCGGTTCAGCATTAGCTTTTTTGGACGGAACTGCTGAAATGGAAACGCTGCAAATAGGAGAGTTTTGGGTTAGCGTTTTGAAAAATGGCTGTTGAGGTTTATTCCTTCAACCCTTGGACCCAACACGTAAGCCCAAAGATTTCGAGTGGAGTGAGTGTAAGAATGTCTAGCCCAACAACTATCAGATGGATCAGGAAATAAAAGGAATAGCAGGCAATGTAAATAGGTATTATTAACTTCGTAATAACTCCCCTAAGTACAATCTACTTGCTAAAAAAGGCACGTCGGCCGTTCGTCTCACAAGGCAGTTAGAAATGCTGCGAGTAAGAAGGCTGAAGCTAGTATGCTAAGAATAGAAAGTTGCCAACCCTTTACAATGAAATAAATGCTTCTATTTATACCCGCCAGTGGGCAGGTAGCTATGCTGACGTGGAAGCCTGTGGACCGCTTGTGTCCCAACCACCAAATCTTCAGCATTAAATGCACTTCCCGCCAGAATCTAGGTTTCCCGCCCAATCAGCGGGGACGTTCGTCCGCCCGGGAAGTGAGTTGGATCGCCCCGAGTGACCCTTAGGAGATACCGGCTGTTCGTCTCCTGGCCTTGATGGATAATCACCATGTGGGCTGGGTTTCCTCCGATGACTGCAGGCTTGCTCCGGAGACGTTCGTCACCATCCCTGGTGGCCCGTGGCCCTGCTCCTTGTCCCTGCACAGACGTTCGTCGGGATGAGCCGCTGGGCCTGAGCCCCCAACACCAGACGTTCGTCCATCCTCAAGAGACATGGGCCTGTGGGCTGGCCTGGTGTTCTAAGTGGACGTGCGTCTGGCAATATGGGTTAGTGGGCCGGACCTCGGCTTGGGCCCTTAACCCAACACAAGTCCCCCACTTCTGATGTTCTGGGCTCGCGCAGGACATAAGGAAGTAGGAATCCCCTCAAGGTAGACGTTCGTGTCTTGATGCTTGACAGCTGTTGGAAGCGTACGCTCGTGGTCATGGTGCTTGACAGCTGTCGACGGTTCAGGAATCGAGGTGACGGCTGATGTTGCGGCGGAGCATTTCCCGAGGAAATGCCATCATTATGCTTTCGCCCCACGTACAGCGCGTGGGTCGGAATACGCTCCTTGCCACGTGTCAGCCCCTCGTTGGCTTCCCTATCGGTGTTTCTCCTATAAATGCCGGGTTTTCCCTCTGAATTAGGGTTCCCAATTTCTGCTCTCTTGCTTTCGACTTTCCGCAGTTCTTCAAGTCTTCTTCCCCGCTTCCGAATTCGGCTAACCCCCTTGTAAGGTAATTTCCCCCCTCTGCTTCTTTTCTTTGTTCTTAGCCGAAATGACTTCAATGGAGATCTCGTCAAGCTCGGGCTCCGGTTCGTCGGGTTCCTCCTCGGGCTCCTCTTCGGACAATGTGAGTGCGCGCTCCCCCGGAAAGGCCAGTATTTCCGGGACCTCTGGTTCGGCCACGACGGTAGGGACCATCCGGGCTGATGGTGAGCCGGATGGTGCTTCTCAAAGTAGTGGGAGCGACGCCGGGGATGGGGATGCTGACGGGGCAGTAGATGTTATTGATGCAGTCCCCCTGAACGAGCGTCCCGCTGATTACGATTCTGGAGAGGAGGCCGAATCCGGTTCCGATATGGAGGTGTATGATCTGGGCATCCCTACGGATATGGAGCGCCACATCTGCCCGATCAGGAGCGCCCTTGACCACGACCAAGTCCTCTCCCGCGTGGCCCTCAACAAAATCCGTACTTTCTTCCCCCCGCCGTTCGTCTGGAGCGTGAGAGGCACTGAGCATGTGATGAGGAGACGTCCGGGGATGATCGTGCTCCACTTGGATTCCGTCGAAGCCGGGCTGCGGTTCTCGCTCCATCCGTTCTATGTGGAATTCTTCCACTGCTTCCAGGTGGCCCCGGCGCAATTCATGCCAAATTCTTATAGGTTCATATCGGCCTTCTTGGTGCGCTGCAAACTTGCGGGAGTCGATGCCACTCTGGAGCTTTTCCACTATTTCTACCGCGTCACTCCCCAGAATGCCGACGGGTATCTGAGCGTGGCCGCACGTCCTGGGAGACGGTTGTTCAAGAGCTACCCTTCGTCCATCCACGACTGGAAGAACCGCTTCTTCTTCCTTCGATACGACGGGCCTCCTCTCCCCATTCGGTGGAATGGCTATCCCCCAAAGATTGAGTCACCGGAGCCGACCGACGATCTGCTTTTGGACGTGGAGAAGGTGTTGGAGGGCGGCGTCTGTCCCATAGCCGGATATCTGACCTTCGAGGCACTCTCCGGGGCAGGCATAGGTACCGCCCGTGTCCTTGGACTCCTTCCACCCTTCGACGCTCGTCTCGGGGCACCGGGCGGTCCTGTCCTTCGAGGTGAGTGTCTTATTGTATTCCCCGCTCGTCTTTTAATCCTTTGTTGTTTCTTGCAGGTTCTCCGCCAGACAGAGACCAGATGAATCACGCCGAGTGCCTGAAGACAAGGAAGGCCAAGGCGGCCGCTGCTAAAGCCGCACTGGCGAAAGCCAAAAACGCCCCCGCCTCGGAGTCCAACTCCTCGGCTTCTGATGCTGCCCGGCGAACTGCTGAGGGCGAGCAGCATTTAATCGCCACCGTGCTGGCTCAGGGTTCTGGGGCCCCTGCTCTTGAAGCTGCCCTTCCACCGCCGACCGTCCCTTCGAAGGTGGCTCCTCAAAAGGGGACGGAGAAGGTCCCCGAGAAGAAACAGAAGAGGGGCCGCGAGGTAGGCTCCACTGGCCCCCTGCTTGAAGATGCCGGCTCTCTGCCATTGAGCCGCCCGGCGGAAGAGCTTTGGAGGGAGATGGCCCTCAAGGCCGGTCTTGAGCTGCCCCGCCGTTCGTCCTTTGAGGCGACCAGCGCTGCCCTGGCAGCCGCTCTTCAGGTAATTCCTCCTTGCTAGACCCGAGTACATTTCTTCTTTGACGTTCGTCTTCTAACCATTACTTTCTCTTCTATCATCCAGTCTGGGCTTCTAGTCCTTCAGGCTGAAGCTGCCAGGGAGGCCGACCTGAGAGAGGTCAAGGCCAAGGCCGAAGCGGCTGTCGCCACAGCCCGGGAGGCCGCCCGTCGAGCTGAGGCGGAGGCTGCAGCCAAGGGGAGGGAGATTGCAGCCCTGCAGGCTGAATCCCGCAGCCAGTTGTCCGGTCTTGAGAGAGCCGGTTTCAAGCTTGTCCCGGTGTTCCCTGCCGCCAAGGATGCCACTCCGGAGTGGTTGGTCGACACCTCCGGCTACCGGAACACCGGGGAATTTATGGATTCCGCCAAGGACTACTGCGCCAGGGCCTTCGGCGATGTGTTCTCCGCGGCGCTGGCGAAGATCCCGCCCCGGCAGCGCCTGGCGTGCGGCGTGCGGATCCTGGAGAGCTCCCCCTTGTCGCATAAGTTCCTCTACGAGGTCGGCGACAGCTCCTTCGCCGCTGGCTACAATGAGGGGGTCAAGGCCACCCTTCCCATTTTCTCGAGGCTGCAGGGGGCCGACTTCGAGCTTGCTGCAAATACAGACGACGATCTGCTGCTTCAAGCCTTGGGGAAGTTGGGGAGAGACCAACGGCGGGAGGAGGCCAAGGCTAGAGGGGAAACTCCGGAACCCCCGTCCCCCGAGCCCGAAGCCGAGGAGGAGGAGCAGATCCCGGGAGGCAGCCGGCCTGAGTCCCCTTTCATGGTGTAAATGTACATTGTAATCTCTTCATTTTGCGCTTGTAATGCCCGGCCGTTAGAGCCGAAGAATATATACAATTTTTGCCCAAATTGTCTCTACGTTCATGATCTTTACTTCTTTATTTCTTTTGTCTTTTGTTGTATGGAAACTCCCCTCGTGTCCCGATATACTCTGTTGCATAGTCTGCGTGGACGTTCATCTCTGTTCCCCAATTGGTTTGGGGGCAGGGGCGTCTCCTTGCCAAAACCCCGTACACATTTAAGTGCGCGGCGCCAGTGTTAAGGTCCGTCTTCGGATGGCGACACTCGGCGCCGATGCTGGCTGCCCCTCCTGCAACAGCATTCTGATGGCAAGACGACGTTCGTCGGGGGTTGGCCTAACAGCACACTTTGCAAGTGTGGTCATACGCACGTCGGAGATTGCCTCAATGCTTGCTAACGACGTTCGTCTACTGTTGCGTGGCATGAATGCTCAAGCTCCGAGCGAGGATGTCCGTCTGTTCTACATGTTCAAATGGCATGGAGTGTGGAAAGGCGAACGTAGCCACTTGATGCGTGCGTCCCCTGCTGGTAAGCTAAGGACATGATTTTTATTTCATCACTTTTGTGTTCTCCATCGTTTGTAGTATGAGAAATCCTTCCGGCGCCTCGACACACATCTGTCGCACGGCGTCCTCCTACCGAAGCCGGCTTGCCGCCCACACGGTATTCTGACAATGGAAGACGTTCGTCGGTAGCTGCCTTGACAGTACACTTCTCAAGTATGGACATATGGACGTATTTCCCTGAACCAGCGCTCGGTGGCGACGTTCGTCGACAGTTGCATGACATGAAAAACCGGGGTACTGCAAGACGAACGTAGCCGGCCGATGTGTGTGTCCTCATCAGCCGCCGATGTTAGGGACAGCCGGGGGAATTACGGAAATATGGAAAGACGAGTGCCTCCAAACCCCTCCGAGCCGGTAAGCCCTCCTCAAGGGACGTTCGTTGCATGGATCCGGATGTCTTTGTGGTGGTTGTGTGGCGACAAAATCGAGATGCCTTAAATGCCGTGGTAGGTACCGGTATCCAGGTGCCACGTGTCCTGCTTTGGTTGGCGCGATTCCGCGGTGTTGCCTATAAGTACCCAGAGTCCATGTGATCTACTCACATTTCTCCTTACGCTGCACAATTGTCTTCTCTCTCTAGACCTCTCTCAAGCCGTATCGGAAATCTCGAACTCCAAAGGTACCGTTCGTTGTCATGTCTTCTGAAAATCGCTTCGACGATGGCTGTTCCTCTGGTGAGGACTTGGAATATTATGAGCGGGGGATGCCGCCTCGGCCCCCCCGTTACAGTCTCAGTTTCTCGTGCGTTCGTCGTCAAACTCAACGCCTGACGAACGCCGATAAGCGTCTGATCAGTCAATGGTTCTATCCTCCAAGGGTCTACGACGATCGGCGTCTGCGGAACCCCATGCGCCATCTGCCCGGCTATGTGGTGGTCCACTTGGATTCGGTGATAGCCGGGCTGAACTTTCCCCTGCATAGCTTCCACTTGGAGCTTTTCAGGGCCCTTGAGATAGTGCCTGCGCAGTTCGTCCCTGCCGCCTATCGGATAATCGCTGGCTTCATCATCAGATGCCACAGCGTCGGTGTGATCCCCACCGTGGACCTGCTGCACCATTTTTTCCGTCTGTCCCCCTTCGGACGCACAGGGTATTTGACCCTTATCGCCCGTCCGTCCATGGTCCTATTCTCGAACAATGCTGGGAATCCAGACGGTTGGGAAGAACGCTTCTTCCTGGCCGGAGTAGGCTCACCGATGCCATTCTCTGACCGGTGGAATGCTTACCCCGTGAAGACGATCCCGCCGCCCATGACGGACGAGGAGCTTGGATATGCCAAGCGCATAGCCGGACTTGGCATCCAGAACCTCTGGTTGCTGGTGGCCGAGCCCTTTAAAGCTCAGGCTGGATTAGGTGCGTCCGTTTGTACTTGTATTGTTTTAAGATCTCTTCGCTGTTATGGTTCTGAACGTCTTGATTCCCTTTGTGCAGGAGTTTTTCCATCCACGTCCACCATGAGCCGAGTCAACGCTGCTTCGACTGCCGCCGGCCGTGAGCACAAGGGGCATGACAAGCCCGGGAAGCCGCTCGTCCCTAAGGTCGAAACTCGGGTGACCAGGGCACGGGCTGAGGATGATTCGGGAGCTGGTGCCTCCAAGAGGCTGCGCGTCGAGGGTACTGCCTCCAAGGCCATTATAGTGGCCGACGACTCTGATGGGGAGCCCGGGAGTCCCCTCAAGCGGAAGCGCACTTCTCGGACCAATCTCCGTGCCTCTCCTCCGAGGAATTCCGACGTCCGCCGTCTCCGGGATGATGATACCCCAACCGCCAAAGGTTCTGGCGACGCCCGTCCGAACTCTCCCCCAGGAGCCAGTGAGTCTTCTCTTGGCTTGATCGAGTTTTCTGGGGTTGGCCCCCGTAAGGAGTCTATGATGCTCTTTGGCCAGACAGCGTCCTCCATCTGGTGTGGGCTGAACCTCAAGGTCCCGCAGGATTTCGCTGCTCAGGAGGCCCCTGAAGATCTCTTGGAGTGCGGCCAGAGCACCTTGGATAAGGCCGGGCTCTACTTTCACAGGGCTCGGATGGCCTTCGAGCGCCAGGGCAGGGAGATGGCCAGAGTGCGGGCTGAATGTGATGCCCTTCTGAGGAATGCAAAAGGCAGGGCTGGCACTCTTCAAGAGAAAGCCGATGCCTATGATAAGCTCGTTCAGGAGAATGCCTCTCAGAAGGAGCTCCTCAAGAAGCAGGAGGCCGAGCTCGTGGATCTCCGCAGCCGGATGTGGGCCGTAGAGCAGGCCAAGGTGGAGCTCCGCTAGACGGGCGTGGACAACCACGTCCCTATCTATGAGGCCGATGTTGCCAAAATCAAGGAGTCTGGATCCATAGCGTTCCAAAGGTCCAAGGCTTATACTGGCGCCATTCACACCATGGCCATGAAGTTTCTTCCGCGGCTCGTCGGCGAGTTTCTGGCCAGTGTCCGGGGGCCCTGGTGGCTGGAGCAGATCCCTTCATGTATTTCCTCGATCACCGCTGCTGCCAGGCTCGGCGGGAGGCATCTGAGGTAGGGTCCGCCGAACGTCTTCTTGTAGAGCTGCCCGTCAATAAGTTCAAAGTTAGGGGCACGCCTCTTTATCCACGCGGCTCTTCCTGTGCTGCCATCCCCTTCGGGCTCAGGGAGTGTTCCATCTCTGAGATAATCTGCTATCTCCTTTGCCCAGTTAGGTTCGGCAACAGAGATAACCTCCACTTGGATGACGTCCGTCGCCGGTGCCAGGAATACCTCCTGTCTAACGAAGCCTCTGATGTGTCGGGGGATGCTTGATGCCGGATCATCGGTTGGGGGGTTGCTTAATTTTGACAGTATATCCGCCTCTGCATTCTCCACCCGCGATACCTGCTCAAGGACCACCTGTTCAAATTGCGCGGTCTGTTCCTCCGCCAGCTCCTTGTAAACCTTCATTCTCTCTTCCCTGGTTTCTGCAGTGCCGTTCATCTGGGTTACCACCAGCTGGCTGTCCATCCTCACCTTCAGACGAGCTGCTCCGAGGGCTTTCGCGCATTTCAGCCCTGCGATAAGCGCCTCGTACTCAGCCTCGTTGTTGGTGACCTTGAACTCAAATTTCATAGAGTAGTAGGCTTTGAAACCCTCGGGGGAAGTGATCACCGCTCCTCCGCCACAGCCCCGCGCACTCGAGGCCCCATCGGTGTACATCTCCCACCAATTGTCGAAGTCGTTGCTGTCATGGGATTCGTCCTCGGTGCGCGCGGTGCATTCTGCAATGAAGTCCGCCAGTGCCTGTCCCTTGATCGTCGGCCTAGGTTTGAAGTCCACGTCATACTGGCCGATCATCAAGGACCACTTGGTTATCCTTCCGCTCGCCATTGGATTTCTGAGAACTGTGGCGAGGGGTTGCGTTGTGTAGACTGTCACCGGATGTGCTTGGAAATACGGCGCCAGGCGCTTGATGGATGCAATCAAGGCGAGGATCGTCTTCTCCATCAGCGTGTATCTCGTCTCGGGGCCGTTCAGCGCCTTACTCACAAAGTATATTGGCCGCTGAACGCCTTCAGATTCCTTCAGCAGCACGGCACTTACAGCCAGATCGGCTACTGCCAGATACATGTACAATCTCTCCCCGGGATCCGCTTTGGTGAGGACGAGCGGGGAGGAGAGATATACCTTGAAATCCTCGAAAGCAGCCTGACACTCCGGGGTCCATTCAAAGGGATTGGCCTTCTTCATGATCTGGAAAAAGGGGATCGCCTTATCAGCCAGCTTGGACAAGAATCTGCTCAGGGCCGCCAGACGCCCGGTGAGGCGCTGCACGTCTTTTAGGTTCTTTGGGGCCTCCATGTCCATAATTGCCTTCACTTTCTCCGGGTTAGGCTCGATCCCCCGCTCGCTCATCATGTATCCGAGGAACATGCCGCCCCTGACGGCGAAGGCACACTTCTTCGGATTGAGCCTCATGCTGGCCCTCTCCATGATGCCGAAGACCCTCTCCATGTCCCGGACATGGTCCTCCTTTCTCATGCTTTTGATCAGGATGTCATCCACGTAAGCTTCCATTGTCTTCCCAAGTACGTCTTTGAACAACATCCCAATCATCCTCTGAAAAGTAGCCATGGCGTTCCTCAGGCCGAACGGCATGACGATGTAGCAATACACGCCGTCCGCCGTAACGAACGCCGTTTTTTTCGGCATCATCGGGGTGCATGAACACCTGATGGTAGCCTCTGAATGCGTCCATGAAGCTGAGCAGCTCGCAGCTTGCCGTCTCATCCACCAGCAAGTCGATCCTCGGAACGGGGTAAGGATCCATCGGACAGGCTTTGTTTAGGTCCGAGTAATCGACGCACATCCGCCAAGTGTCGCCCTTCGGGGCTAGTACCACGTTGGCCAGCCACTCCACGTGGATGACCGGCCGGATGTGTTTGATGCTGAGGAGAGTCGCCGTCTCCTTCCTGATGAAATCGCGTCGGTCGGCCGCCATGTATCTTTTCTTTTGTTGCACGGGTTTGGCGTCCGACCGCACGGCGAGTCTATGGCATATGAGGTTGGGGTCGATGCCCGGCATGTC